CCCTTTTAGTTTTTTTATGTCCTGCCCTTCGGCTGTATACAAATGTGTTTCGTATTTCGTACTACCATACTAATTCAATTGGAAATATTTTCGTCCAATAAATAGTATTTCGTACCAATCAAACCATCATACCGAGATCGATTTGAAATGGTATACGACCACTACCAGAGTTCGCATCTTTTTCTACCAACATGTTAAAGTAAAATAAAGCAACCAACGAACCAACATGATTTTGCACTGATTCTGATTCTACTTGTCAAATTCGCCATTGAACAAAATATTAGATCAAGAACTTTCGCATCACATGAACAAATCGTTTCAAATCCGATGATTCGTATGTTCCGTATCAGCACATTGATCCGTATAATTTATACGAATAGTACCGATTCGAGCCATCTCTACTATGTGGACCAGGTTGTCAGCGCAACCTATGGTGACCATCTGGCATCTCATACCTCAGTCAGCCCTGTGGCACTCCACATGGCATATCAATCTCCATGTCCATTGTCTTTATTATGCTTGGGGCCATGGGGTTGAGTTAAAAGCATTTTTAAGTCCTTCGTAGCCATAACTGTAGCGATTTACTATGTGATTAAAAGAACTTTGTTTAAAATTAATAAGCCTGATATACTTTGATATAAGTTTAGATTGAATAATTTGAAGTTCATATTATTCAAACCACATGCTGTCAACGATAATGAACGTTCTTTCAACAGGCTGACAGCTGACACGCTATTTTATTTTGTATTGTACTAAAGAGAAAATAAATATATTTAAATTATTCTCCTAGATTCGTCTCCTCTGGCCTCGACATCTCCCCAACGAAAGAAAAACGTTGAGCGCGATAATTAGGGTATCGCCTTGCTGTGTACACAACCGTGAAGCCCGTTCAGAAACAATTTAAGATTTCCCTCGAATTTTCTTGCCTCTTTCTGTTGATTTAAGAAAGTGAAAAATCACGAGTAATTGCCCGAAAGTAAAGGTGAAGGTTGTTTTTAGCTAACAAAAGGGCATTAAGTTGGGAAATTTTCGAGATTGCAATTTTAATAATCGAAACTGAAAACGCCGCAGCCTCGTAGGAAACGTTTAGCCAAAGGGTGATTAGAAAATTAAATTGTAAATTAGAATATTATGTTAAAATATAGGTTCACCAGATGTACGAATAAAACTGGACATGTCCAGCTTTTTGATTAACTGATATACATAAAATATTTAAAAAACATCCTGCATGGTAGTTGTTAAGTAGTTAATAATTCCATCCGGCACATAGTATATTTTAGGTATGTCGTGGACCGGGTGCCATATCTAGCAAGGGGGCAAGAGGATTCTGCCGTTCCGCCACAAAAGCCCAATAAAATGTTTAACAGTCCATGGAGATATGAACTAGAGCTCTTCATTACCATATTGGAGCAGTTTCTAGCCGTTTTAGGAACGACGCTCTAATGTAATTTTGGCAAGAGCAATGTGTCTAAAGTAATATATGCTAATGCATCGGCATAAATAGTATTACATAGTGATGGTGAATGGTGTAAACATATATCCAGGGGAAATCGATAGGACGTTAAAGTTGGCAGTGGCCCCGTTTCCGAACAAAAAGTCGGGAAAACTACGACTGGTCCGGGGCGTGGGTCAACAACAACTGTACACATACATATATCCCGTTGGAAACTGGAACACGTAGAAGGAATAAAGTACCAGGGTTATCTTGAATAAATTGGCGTGTTTATATTTAAAAATTGCTGGTGCATTACCAAATATAAAGATTGCGGTTAGAAATTGAGTAAAATTATATTTATGATAAACGAGTTTATAATTTTTCTTGCATTACCGGAGAACATTCATATTTTAATCGGGCTTTCCACTTTTGAGGTTTCATAAAATTGATTCTTGTTTTTGTAGGTACACAGAGTGACCGAAAAGTATAAAAACCTTAAAATATCTCAATGGGCTTGCAGAATGACACCGAGTTTTGGAGTACTTCATTTGGATAATAAGCATCAATTAGAAACTGGCCTCGATAATATTGCTACTATTTAAGTTTTAGAAAGCCGAGTATTTTTTTAAATCCTTTAATTTACATATAATTTGTGTAACATTATTTATTATATTATTTAAAAAATTAAAAAAGGACAATCTTATCGAGTTCTACTTCCTCCGTACGTTTAAACACAAATTTAACAATTAATAATAATAATAATAATTGTAATTTTTAAAGTTCATAATATTCTGTATCTATCCAGAGTATAAATTGTACTCAAAATTGTACTTGAGCACTCAAAGTACTCAGTGCGGAGGAGGATTTAAAATATAGTTATTCTTTAATGCCTGGGAAATTGAGCTTACCGTCAAAATATTTATATTCAACGCTGCTGCTACACGCTCTCTGATTGCATTTATTGGTAATAAAGGACCACCACTATCTCGTTCTTCTTTAAAATATCTTATTAGATAATCCACAAATTCTTTCGCACAGCTATTAAAATGCTTAGGTAGTTTATACATAAAAAAATTAATTTGTTTATTAAACACAAAAATAATACTGTTGACAGTTTGACATGTCATAAAAAGAGATACTGATTTGGAAACTGTCTGTTACGTATACCAATTGCCCACTTCAATCTTAAAAAACAACAAGTATATCATCTGTTCAATTTAATAAACAATTTTCATCATTGATGACGTGCAACGGAAATTTCATTGCAATGGGTATATTATTATTATTTACATATAAACTTTTATTTATTTCAAGTTAAAATTCTTATAAGAAACTGTATAGTGTATACCTACATATAGCCAACTGGCACATAAGATATATCCTATAGTATTTATTTTTATTTCTATTTAAATTGGATGCAAATTAAAAAGTTTTATTTGCTTTTTTTATGAGGTGCAATGAATAAAAAATATATTATTGTGCCTTCAATGGTCCTGTTTATTGATCTATAAAGCGCATATAAAAGGTTTCGCACGATTCAGTTTAGTACTTCAGTAATTTATTTTCGTTTTATAGAAAACCATACAATTGAGGAGATTCTAGAGATGGTGAGGCCTAATAAGTAGACTCTAATTTTAAAGTTCATCATATACCCTTTTACTAAATTAAAATCAATTAAAATCAATGCATCATATTTCAGATCTAAAACAAATGATCTGGTGAATTTTTTGTTTAAGTAAGTTTATTTAAATTATAAACATTAAAACCATTATCAGATACGTCGAATTGAGATAATAAACAAATAATTAATTAAAACTATAATCAAGGTTTGTTAACCCAATATTCTGACTTGGCATTTTGACTTTTTTCGCAAATTAGTGAAAATGAATAATGTGGAACACTAACTAAAATGTTTAATAATAGGATGGCCTCAAACTGTACAATAAAGAAAAGTTTATTTTAGAATTTGGATATTATGATTATGATTTTTTTTTAACATTTCATTTAAAAAAGAAACCCTAAATATTAACTTTCAAAATTGAATATCTACATGAGAACCTACTTCCATTTGATTTATTTTTATACGCGTAATTGTTTTATTTTTTTTTTACTTAATTTTATTTGAATGGAAATTTCTTTTCACTAAAATCGAATGGTTAAATTAGTATGTCATTAGTTGCCATGGTTTTTGCTTTTGTTTTAACGTAATTGGTTTACCAAAATAAAGAAAATTGCTTCAAATCCAAAAAACTGAAATGCCATTTTGGAAATATGAAAATATATAATCCCAATTTCTTCTAGGAATCTAATTTTAATGCCTTTCCAGCTTTCTCTATTTTCCTTTAACCCAAACTTTGACATTGTATAGGAGAACGACAATCTCTGATTGTACTATAATAAATTTTTCGCCAATGTTAAGTTTTTGAGTACGGCTCGCCGTAAAAGTGAAATGACAAAGTGAAGTTGGGATCCGAAAAACTAAAATGCAATTTTGTAAATATGAAAATATTTAATCCCGTTTCCTCTAGGAAATTATGAAAAATATACCCCCATATCCGCAAAGTGAACAAAAGGAAGAAAAATTAAAAAAAGTTTTGAATTTATGAAAATAAAAAATGAATGCATCGACCAAAGATGAACCAAACTAGAGTCGTCCGTTCTTCTACCAGATGGGCTATCAAGACACATGGCTTTCGTCAGCACAAACACATTCTAATCCCATCCTACAATATTTTTACACAATACATTTTTAAGTCGCCCTATAATGCCACGGCAAATAATATTAATAGACATTTAGGCAATCAATATTACTTTCTTGTATTGTTAGTTGCATATGCATCATTCTATTGACAATAATAATTAGAACCACGATCAGAACATCATTATTAATTATTTTTTCTTAACGACTAACAATGTGTTTGTATTGTTTATTAAAGTTATTAAGTTTTCAAGAAAGTGAATTATTTTGTAGTGTATTGAGTTTTAGTTATTTTGTGCTGATTTGGAATGGACAATAAGGACCAAAACAACATTATTACTAGGTTGTAAGTTAACCAAATTATATTTTTATAAGTCAACCTACCCTTCTTTATTGTAAACTTTCAATAACAATGTATATTATTGATTTTAAAACCAAAAATGGTTTATTTTTATTTCTTTTCTTTTCGCAACTGGTGACATAATGAATTTTAGAAACCAGTTTCATATTGTTCAATATTATGCAACTGCTCGCGCAAAATAGATCATTTGATCATTTTTCAAAAATGTCAAAATGAGATATTTCTCTAAACAATTTTATTTTTCTTTTTATTACAAGCGAGTAATAAAAACAATGTTAGTTTAGGTCGCCAATATTCATTTTTAACATGAATAGTCTTTGTTTTTATATCCCCATCCTTTACAAAATTGTCGGCTTTCCAATTTAATCTCAAAGAATATTTATCTTATCCACTGCCCATAATTTTACGTCTTTCGCCAACAAATATTTGTGTCAAGTTCAAAAACGCAATCGAATAAAATAACACAAAAAACGGTAGAAAACGAGCAATGCAACCAAAATACTCACGTAATTCTGTGCCAAGTCTGGATGGTTCGTCTGGATACCGTCGTCCAGGATGGAGACCACAACCCCTTTTCCGGTGTAGCCCTTTTGCCAGGCGGGCGCCACGTTCATGTCCAGTCCATCTTTGGCACCGCCGTTCTGGAAAATAAATTAAAAAACCATTAGATTCTATTAAGGAACATTGCCGGAGATTTATCATAAAATTGATTTATGGTATCGAGAAAATCGATTTGTAAGTAGTAAATACTGGGTTCGCTAGAATAGATATAAATCACACCGAAATCGAGCTGGTGGCTATTGGGAGATTTTTTAACAGTAAAGAGTGAAAGCTCAAAGAATAATAGGGCTGGGAATTATCTAAAGAATGGGCGAGCGAATGACATACTTTATAGAAAACAAAAACCTATTTGAAAAGTGAAAATTATTCTAAACATAAATGCGACCAAGATGTAGAATTAAATAAATTATTTAAGACACGTGTCACACAATAATACGAGCATCCGGTTCTTTTCGGCTAATACCAGGCTAAGGACAAAACCAGTCCAAGAATGACGTTTTCCTTAGTAAGCAAATTTAGAGAGACTATTGAAAATTATTTTTTATCTTTGCTGTTTTCCTTTGGATATATTTCATTACGTTTTGTGGTATTAGTCAATATAGTAGTGGTTGCTCGTATTATTGTGTGACTATGTTTGGAACTTTATTTCATACGTGCGGTTTCTTGTATTTCTGTATATAATAACACAAACTAATTTCCTAATTTTATTTATTTATAATAAACATTAAAAATCAAGTTTGAAGTTTAAAAACACAAAAAATATTTGATCAAAAAGATGGACAATAAGTAATCTAAATACTATTCGTCTATCAACTATGCATTTTCATCAGATACTTCCTCAAAACACTTTTCATATGTGTCAGGCACATCTTTGAGCGGCACTTTTCACAAAAATAGTTTGTCTTTATGTCTTTACTTCTTGGGCAGACTGAGCATCGACTTTTTGAAACCCTATCGTTTGCAGCTCTTGTGCCTAGTGGTTTAACGTCTTTTATACCACAGACCTTCGCAGCTTTTTTTCGAACTTTTTTAACGGGTATTATTTGCCCTTTTATCCAAATGATCGGCAATAAGTTGCATGCCCAAATCTTCAAGGAAGTTCAGTCGACTTACTTTTTATTTTTATTCAAATCTTTGAATATGACTTGGCTGTTGATTCCACATATGTCCAATATTCTGAAAAACATAGCAAGAGGGATTTGGTTAGTTTTTCTGGAAGTTGAATAAGTTACACACATTTGATCCATGACGTCGACTGTGATTGTAAAATGTAATAATTTCTGGCTTTTTGTCATCACCGGTAGCTACATCAATAGAATTATCTCCTAGATACAAGGAAGATATCATAATAACATTTTTGTTTCTTTTCGGCACATACGATACCACTGTCATGTCATCTTGATATCCAAAAACTGAAAATTTTACAGCTCTTTCTTTAGTTCGGATAAAATTAGTTGGAAGTTATCTCTTATTTTTTCTAAGAGTACCAGCAAACGTTAAATTTTTCTGAAAAAGCTGTTTTACCAACGGTATACTGGAAAGCCAATTATCAGCTGTAATATTTTGTCCAGAACCTTCAATAGGCTTTACTAATCTCATGGCTGAATTCGACATTTGATAGGATCCCTCTGGTTGCCTGCCTGGGTCATTGATTTTGCATCAGTAAGAGTAATTATTTTCAAACCATGTTTGGCCGGCTTGTTAGGAATATACTAACGGAAAGAACACTTTCCTCGAAAAGCCACCAGTTGTTCGTCAATTGTGCAATATTCTGATATTGTATAATTTTTCTGACAGTTTTCAGTAAACTTCTCGGAAACATTTCTAATGGCAGCTAATTTATAATTCATTCTGCGCTCACTGGGAGTATAGATGTCATCAAAGCGAAGACATTTTATCAGAAAGAAAAATCGGTTTAGACTTATAGGAAAAATATCTATTCCCAATCTTCTTGTATTCCAGAGACTTTTTATGTTTTGGTGATTAGATAGTATAGAGCCCACAAGAATTATATGGCCTATTGCAGCTTTTATTTCTATTTCGTCCGTTTTGTATGCATATCGATTTTTTTCATTTTTTGCCAATTCTTTTGCTATTTTTATGTTAGTACATTCTGTAACTATTGTGATAATTGACGAATCCAGGAACAATGAAAAACATTCTAAAGGAGTTTTGCATTTTCTTGCTTCATATTTAGGACCTGGCAACTCAGAAACTATATTTTGCTTACGAGTTCTAATATTTCTTCTCTCTAGTTGTTTTTTGCGCCATTTTGTTGCAGTTATAGCAACAAATATATTGCGATTTAAAGTTCTAACTGAAAATTATCCGAATATGTAAGGAATAAACACGAGCCCCTAGCATTCGAATTTTTTTAAAGGCTACCTATTTAAACACATTGGAAACTTCGTATATGGATACTCAGTTAGTAGTCTTAGTACGCTGCAGCAGTGCATCGTAAAGTCTCGCAAATACCCATCCAAATGAATAAAATAAAAAGTTACTAGATTTTGGAACGTCATGGATTAATTACATCATGTTATTATGTCAGGTGGCAGTATCAAAATAATGTTGAATTTTAAAAATTTTTATTTAAGTATTTAACAAAATGGTAGAACGATTTAGTGATCAATTAAAAACGTAGTTTCCTATTTTAAGAGACAACATCTATTTGCGAGGTTCTTTGAAAGAGGTATAATCCTGCAGAGGCAATAAATATTCCACAGAAAACTGTTTATAGACTCAGTAAACCAACAAATTCTGATACAGGGTACGTGAGAATAATGTTTAAAAAAAGTAAGCCAAAGTAAAACAAAAGTCATTTCTTTAATATGAAGTAAGTTGAGGCAAGTTATATACCTCTAAGATATACGAGGGTGCGCAACATGTAACAATGAAATCGTTACATAAACTATTTTCGAAAGAAATGCTTGATGTGAAATGTTCTTCACGGTCAATTAATACATGGAATCGAAAAATTGGATTTCGCTTTAAAACATGGATTCAGTTAAAAAATGTCGTTTTTAAAAAAAATTAACAAGCAGATAGAGCCGTTGTCGCCTGTAGGCTGGTTAACGAGTTAATAATGGCCTCACTGACTCAGGAGGGTGCACAATGGACGCAGTAAAGCCTAAGTGCTGCGGGACAATCCACACGGAAAAAAATGTGACTAGAAAATTTTACTACAATGTTGTAGTAGTAGACTTGTAGAAAAATACTCAACTTTTTGTAGAAAATTTTACTGCAATTTATAGTTAAAAACTATTAATTATTGTAGCAATTGAATTGTCAAATAATATGCTACAACAATAGAAAAAAGACCACAATGTTTAGTATATTTTACTATTGTTTGTAGAAGTAGAAATTTATTACAATTATCGTAATTACTACTACTAACTTCTGTAAAAATTTGTACAAATATTAATAATTATCTCTACAAAAAAATAGTAATTTTCTCTACAAAAAATAGTAATACTTTACATCCCTTGTTATGAAAAAAATTAAATTTTGTTAAAAAATATTCTATAATATTGTAGAAATTCTAAGTCATGTGAATAAAACAGAATTCTGCTATTGGCCAACGTTTTCTGACGTCGATTATAAATGGCCAGACAGCAGTAGCCGTTCGCCATGTTCACAAAACAAAGCATGGTACATATACGAGTACCTATAACACATTATTATATAATAAGCACCGATGCGTTTGAGACAATTTTAATAATAAATTCTATTAGTGGTAAGTACATTTATTATTGTTTCTGAATAATTTACGTTTAGATAACTAATTTAAATAACCTTAGTAGATTATTAAAAAAAAAATAGTTGTGGTCAACGATCGAATGTTGTGCCCAACGATCGAATGTTGTGCCAGTTCGATGATGTTTTTTTGTCTTAATTGTGACATACCTACTTTCACATTTTTGTTAGTTATCTGACTTAGTCATTTAATATCCAAATCAGTGTAAAGGTGAAAAATATCCCCGTTTTAAGGGTATAAACAGTTCAATAGGTATTAATTTTTATTTCATATTTTTCAGGTGCAGAAAAGCCCATTGAGACTGAGGGCGCTATTATTACTGTTATTTATTACATAGTGTAATTAAGACTATGTATCTTTTATATTAAAACAATAAATTGAATATTTTATTAAGGAACATTTTTTCTAGGTTATTATTATAATAATTATAAAATACTACTACAAATTTTATTAAAAATTACTACAATTTGTATGAATTTTTACTATTTATTGTGTAAAATTTTTAATACATTTTTAATATAAATTCATACAATGAATAGCAAAAATTATAACAATTTGTAGAACAATTCTGATGATGCATTTGGATATTTTTACTAAATATTGTAGATATTCTCTACAAATATTTGGAAATGTTTACTACAAATTGTCCCTGTCCCTATATGTACTATTTATTGTAGAGAAAAAATGTATAATTGTAGAAATTTGTTCTACAATTTTTTTTCCGTGCACCCACCCCAAGTCAGTCAACCGAAAGAAATTATAGTTGCCAAGAATGAATAAAAATACATTTTAATAATGATTTATAATGGCAAAAATCATCTCACCAGGTCTGGAATTTTGAATAGAGATAAGACAGGTGACTAGTAAAATATACCAGTGGTGGCTCTGATACGGGCAAACGTCAAAATAACGTTGTTTAGTAAGTAATGATTGTGTACCAAAAACACAGGAGTAAATAAAATGACTATTGAGCCAGGCGGTGAGTTTGAGAGTGATTAAATAATGGCTCTTACTTAAAAATGGGTAAAAATAGTACTATTTTAATAAATAAAATTATTTACTGATTTGTAATGTTCTAAGAAGCTTTTTGAAACAATTATTATTTCTCAATTCTGACCAAAAGTTTTGTTTATTAGAAAATAAGCACTATTTTTTAAGTGAAAGCAATTGCCTGATTTTAATTCACACTACCCAATTAGAAATTAGTGGATATTTATGTTATTAGTTGTAACGGTTGTAACCGTTTTCGTTATTTGACCCAGACATAGTAACGGTTGTAACCGTTTTCGTTATTTTGAAACCACCATCTCTACACAAACGTCA